TATCGTAAGAAGATATACTTACAAATAAAAAAGATTAGAGTGCGCTCAAATTGAATAATCTAGATTATTTTCTCAAATAAATTACTTTTACTTAGCTTACACGAATAGATAAAGGTTGACAAGTCACAGTGAGAACAATAAAGTCCGGTTGAATCCTCGAGCTTGACGAAGAACCGTAAAAAATCGCTGTCACAGTTCGGAGAAGTAATTTACGCAAGGTTTTATAGCCAGTTTCATTATCATACATCATTCATAATTTCATTATCATACATCATACATAATTCCTATTTTTAAACGCTGCATTCAAAACTGCGATATTTTGAATGTGCATTAATAGAGGGTGTGTCTTCAAAACCATAAAACAAGACTTTTAACCACCTGGAGATTTTTAAACTTTTTCCAAGGAATGCGGAAAAAAGAACTGGAATTTGAATCGCATAAGAGTATTCAATTTTCAATGAATTGTGAAACATTTTCTCCGAATATGCAGGAAGGGTCTATTTGCCATGCAACGCTGCCAATATGTATTGCGCAATTCAACTTACATGTGATACTATTCCAATCATTTGCCAATATTTTTGTTCCCGAAATATCATACTTCTTAATATAAAATCATGAGTGTAATGCGTAACGCGCGACGCACAGAGGATCGATTTAACGGGAGAGGTCGGACGAAATTAGGACATTTTAAACCCTCATAACTAAGTTCATACAAAACTTTGAGGTTTCAAAAGTGGCTCCATTGATTTCTTCGTAAAATTTTCTTCAGTAAGCACCCATTGAAATTTCAAATGTGACGAAATAAACACCAAAATTTTCATGTCGAACCTCTCTAATTTGCTCGATCCTCTGTGCTTGCCCATGGCACAAAACGCTCCGAAAGATTGGACCGCGAAGCAATTATTAGGGGGCCCACCCCCAGGGTTTTTTTTTTAAATATTACAAGAAATATTTGTGGGAGAAAATAATGAAGATTATGCATGTGTAAGGGATTTGCGATTTGACCATTGATTCTTATGTAAAAGTTCGCGAGAAACACGATGGTGCCACTGGTTTTCTCTGTAATCATCTCCCAAGCTCAAAAAAAGCTCTCAAGTTGAGGCCAAAATGGAGGGGATATCCCACGCTATCCCGAGAGTCTACCTCTACATCAAGACAAACTCTCCATGCAAAGATAGGGAGCAAATACATTAACAGGGTTGCCGTGTTTTTAGTTTTGGAGTCCCCAAATAAAGTGGCAACCCTGCTAATGTATTTGCTCCCTATCTTTGCACGGAGAGTTTGTTTTGATATAGAGGTAGACTCTCAGGGTAGGGTGGGATATCCCCTCCATTTTGGCCTCACTTTAAGAGCTTTTTTGAGCTTGGGAGATGATTTCAGAGAAAACCAGTGGCATCATCGTGTTTCTCGCGAACTTTTACATAAGAATCAACGGTCAAATCGCAAATCCCTCACACATGCAACATCTCCATTTTAGGATAGGTATTGTAGGGTACTTAGCAACGCATCGCGTTGCTAAGTGCAGTATCGTAGTGAAATTGCACAGTCTTTACAACATGGCATGGCAAAGAGGCCTCTTTTGCATCCCCTAATTTCAATAAAAATTAAATGCACCGACTGTTTCCAATCGGGCTGCTCAGGAGCAAACGCGATTGTTTAGTTAAGTAACGCATCTCGCATCACACTTCTCCTGCCGATTGTATTCCAAAGTGGGTTACCCAATCTCAAATCATGCAGAGTAATAAAGGATACATCGAGGGCGGGGAGGGCGCATTTTCCTCTCGACCAGTCTTGTCATCCTCTTTTAACCTCTGCACCCAAAGCAATACGCATAGGGACAATAGAAGCGATAGCCCGCATGGGTGTCTGATTGTATTGACAAATGCAACATTTCATTTGTTTTTAATGTAATTTATATGTTTATTTTTTTAAACGTGTTTTTCTTTTACTTTTTTTCAGTTCTCTTCATTTTAAACCGTCTTTCATTTTTTCATTATACTTTCGATTTTCCTCTCGTTTTTTGTTTGGGACTGATGCAGAGGAGCCCACTACGAAATTTTTGTCGACTGACTTTCTGGACATCCGGTGGAAGCTCCAAGCAACCCCTCCCTTCACCACCACACTGTTCCAACTCGATCCACAAGCAAAATAGAAATAAAGAGGCGAAGGCGGGGGGCAATTCAAACAAAACTAAGGAAAAGCAAACCTAACCAAACCAACTTCCCCTGGTAAAAATTGGCGAAAAGAGCTGCGTTTCAAAATTCCATAGGAATTCTTATAGCCGGCTAAAGAAGGCTACAGAAAATCATATAGCTGGCTGTAGAATGCGGAGAAAATCATACGGCCGGGCTATACGAAGCGATAAAAAATTATGCAACCGGGCTATAGTTCCTATCGCCGGGCTTTACACTTTATCGCCTGGCTGTTGCTTTTTCGCCATCGGCTATAAATGCTATGAGAAATTGTGTAGCAATTCGTGTGCTTTGGAAATCATTAAGTTTGATACGGAACCACCTTAATATTTACAAAACACACATTACATTTTCCTTTAATACACATTTTTTTCATCAATTAAAATGAGAATAATCCATACAGGATGTGTAAACATTTCAAAGTCATGAGTTGAATAACGCTGACTCCACGAGATTAAATATTAGAGCCTAACACAAAGCGGAGCGGTGGCGCACTGGCGCCTACAAACCTAACAGGGATACTTCACGCATTGCGCAATGCGTGAAGTATCCCTGTTAGGTTTGTAGGCGCCAATGCGCGTTCCGCGCCGGCTGCCCGCCCGCCGCGCCACGCCGCAGCGTACCACGGCGCGGCGCTTGAAGCAACTATTTCACACCAGAGGTATTGCATAGTATCATACGAAATTGAAGGCGCTCCAACATATTAGGAATGGCAGGCATCCTTCAAAAGTACGGTGCTTTCCTCGCAAAATAAATGAAGATACTACGGCCCAAAAAGAGAGCGGTAGTCCAAAAACTCACTAAGTCCTGGCATCCGTAATTAGTATCCGTAGGCAATCCGTAATTAGTAACGTTTAGCATACACTTTATCGCCAGGCTGTTGCTTAATCGCCATCGGCTATAAAAGACTATGAGAAATTGCGTTGCCGGCTATAGAAGCTATTGGAAATCTTACAGCCGGCTGTAGGTCTATGGTATTTTGGAACACAGATTCTACTGCCAATTTTTACCAGGGTAAACCTAACCTAACCTAACTAAAAGCAGGTAGAGCCAGAAATCAGAGCACCCACCGGGTGTCTCAAGAGTTGCTCTTCAAAAATGTCGTGGTGGGGCTCTTTTTCAGAGGACCCTATCGATTTCTTATCATTTGCATTTTTTCTACAATTTTTTCTTCGCTTTCTATAAGTTGGTTTCTTGTTTTACATTTTTATTTTGCTTCTTCATATTTCTTCTCTTTTCGTGTTTTTCAACTCTACCTCTTTTGCTTTTTTTACTTTTTCTTCTGATTTGTTTCCTTTTTCTTTCCTTTCTGTTTTTTATTTTCCCCCATTTTTCTTTTTTTTCTCTTTATTTTTATTTCTATTTATTTCTTCTCTCTATTTTTCTTTCCTTTTTTATGTAATGCATTTTCCCCCTTAATTTTTCTTTTTCATGACTATTCTTCTGATTTCTACTTTTCCCCCAGGGGAATATGAATGGGAAAAATTCACTCGAAGAACTGTGGCAACAATGGAAAATCGTAGCAAAGCGGGAGTTAATTAGAATCGTCAGGCGGTTAAGCGGCTCGTGGATTCATGATGACTCTACTCGACGCGCGACGCGCTGCAGATTTCTGTTTGATCCTTAATCAAACATTCGAACGCGGATTGTTTCCAGCCCGCTTCTCCGCCTCCCCCGTTCCGGTGTAGCATAATTGCGGCCACTCGGAATTTTTAATCTTTGTCAACCATCGGGTCCAAAGTAGTGGGCGTCATTGTCAGTTGGAGCTGAAAACATCGCGAAAAATAAAAAAAATGTGGGATCTCTCGAAAAATATATTTGGAGTGCCTCTCCCCAAAAACAGTTTATTGACGCAATTTAGAGTCAACTAATATAACTAGTACATGCGTCCAGAGGCTGACAAGCAGGTTAGCTGGAATTGCGAGTATACAACACTTTTTTTTTTTTTTTTTTTTTTTTTTTTTTTTTTTTTTTTGTTCTCTCTTTTTTGTGTGTGTGGGGGTGCTGAATTAGAATCTAAAGATTCGTGGCTCCTATCTGGTGAACATTCATTGTCACTATGTGGAGATGACCCCAAAAAACTTTTAGCGGCTCTGGTGCTTGCACTAGAGCTGCTATTCCGGACGGTCCCAGCTGGGGAGTATCAATGCAGCATGTTACATTGTAGAGACCGCGCGTTGGTTGATGGGAATCGGCGCCATTTTCGGCTATGTTCCTTGTCATGACTTTATTTTATTGCATACTGTTTTATTGTTAGTCAATGCTATGTTGTGTATTGTATTTTTGGAATCATGGTGATACAGTCAACAATTCAAAACTTGTTTGTGCTTTTATCTCGTGATGGAAAAAATGTACTTTACGTTCAAAATTTGAAAATTTGAATTTTAAAGTTTTCGCGGTTAAGGAAGCTTTAACCACTGGGTTGGAGCTTCCTAGTCATATTACTTGATATCAGCTGATAGCAAACAAAGGTTACCAGGGAAACCGTAAACGTCTAACAACTATCGTGGCCATTGGGGCGATTATTGAAATGATATCGACTGTATGTCGCCGCTTACGACAGGACATAGCCCTATCTTAACTGTGTAATATATCGCAATTCGATATTGTTTTGATTTTTAAAAGGAGCAATTCATTCATACAGTTCCGATTAGTTTTGGCGAACGGGCCCTTAACCTACGGCACTCGGCTCATGGGAATTTTTTAACTTGTCCTGGACGGACTCGTCTGTAGCGCCTCGTTCTTCGTTGTGTGTGTGATTTCGTGAAGAAGTTTCTATGGCAATTTGCTTTTATTTGTGAGCTGTTTTTTCACGGGATTTTTGAATGTTCTGTACGAATAAATTCGGTGAGTACCTCATTTATCCCTCCTTCCAGTAAAATTATTTCAACTTTTCCTTCTCCCTCATTCTGGACCCACTCATGGGCTGATTATTTTCTCATTCTTGAAACTTTAGACTGGCAATTTCTATGCACAATCTATAGCTCATTAACCTATAGTTCAAGAGTTCCTCACTAGTGTCTTGCTCTTCTTTTTTATTTTTAAAGCCTCAATGTATTTATAGAATTTCAAAAATTTAGTTTTTGAGTTGACTTAAAAAATGTAGAAAATATAATGCTGTTTTAATTTTCATTTCAGGTAATGAGTCGACGCAGTCAAAGAATAATTCAGAGGTAAGAAATCTGCTTTTACTCAATATGTAAGTGTTAGTTGATATGCAAAATTGAGGAATGTTTTGGACATCTATACGTTTGATAAGACCATTTTAGGAGTTAATACTTTGAATACCTAATATTTAGTGGTGGCTTAATTTGTTAGTAACCAGAAGTTGTGTGGTCTTCTTGAACTGTAATTTGTTTTTCAATGTCCTGGGAAGTAACTGGATGATAATGTATCATTTTACTATCAGAAAATTTGTTTGCCAACTCTTAATGCGATGATAATAAGTAACAAGTTTGCAATGCTTTGCATTTATTATTTCAGTTCATGGCTATTGTTGTTTCACCTTATAACCAATTGTTTAATTTTCTTGTCATAATATGGCAACCAATAAAAAAATTTTAGCAGAAGCTTTATTAATCTACCTAAGAAACTCTCCATTTTTTGCTTGTTTCAGAGATACAGCTATAACCAAATGCAGAAACATTCCTGGTTTTGATGAATCCACCCCGATCCAAAACAATACTATATGCATTGAAACATCTGCACAATCGTATGACGCCGAGCCAAAGAAGGAAAAGAAAATAGAATCGAGTGAAACCTATGCACTGTAAGTAAAAATTTCAGTTAATTCTATTCTAGTTGCAACCTTGCGTTGTTATCAAGTTTATTGTGTGACTTTAGATGTTCCTCAGAAGGTGGTTTGATCATCTTAATTGCCCATTGGCGGCTTTCCAACTGGCAATACTGCAAATTAACAAAATTTCACCACTTAAAATGTTGTAGTTTGAGCATTAGTCTTGTGAAACAAAATTACACTTTCCAAAATCTCATTATGCATATTTGTTTTTTTACAGACGTGAGTATTATTAAGTTTACTATTATGTTTACTATGCGGCTGTAGGTGCCCCTTAAATTGTGGTTTAAGCATCTTAATTATCTATTGGCTGCTTTCCAACTGTTAATACTGCAAATTGACAAAGGAGGGGTATCGTTAAGGGCCTTTTTTGGGCCTACCCTGAAATTCCTCAACTCTGCGTTTTTTTGGTCATTGAAGGTCTATATTTTACGGAATGCATAATGGTTTGGTCATTTCCGATCTATTTTGGGGTCTACCACTGGCCTAAACATGGGTCTGAAGGCCAATTTTGGCGAAAAATGCGGGTTTTTCAGCATTCAACGCGCTATTGTAACCGATCCTTTCGGAGGACAAAAAATTCCTTCAAGTATGTTCATTAGGGATGTAAGAGTGTCACTTTGGCCAATTTTCGTCGATGTCAAACTTTGCGCTCATAGTTAAAAAAAAACTTTTTAGAATTTTGTTCAACCCAAGTGGCATACATGTAGTAGAATTCCAATTTATTTTTAAAACAACCGATCTTATATTTTCCTCTACACAGGGTGAACGTTGCAAATGATATATCGAACAATGATTCTGATATTACGCATCCAGTAAATGAAGCAGAAAATTCATTCATCGAAAATCTTGAAACACATCAGTCGAACTCAAAGCCTAAAAAGAAGATAAAATCAAAGTCACGTGACTTATCGTAAGTACAAACCTGCAACTTTGTTTTTTATAAAAATAGGAATAATTTTAAATTAACTGTAAAGCTTGGAATAAGTATGCAATTTTTCCCTGCCAGGAAATGTGATAGTTTCAAGAATATACAATTTTTTTTCTCTTTTTTTTTATTTCAACAATGGGCAACCTTGACTTTTTGCCGATGGATTCGTTGGAACTCGGTTTCGGGTGTATCTGAATAGGAGGAAAACGATAAGCTGATAAAAAATACATAAAAGAACAGAAAATACATTCGGAATGCTGTAACCTTTGAGACAGGTACACACCTACATTAAATTGTGCCATGTCGAGGAATTATTTCTACCGGTTTTTGAAAAGAGTTGATCCGTTTTCAGCATTTGCGAACTGAATTAGTTAGTGCTACGGAGAAAACTATTTTCTCTTCGCTGCTACGACTCATTGCTCCGGAGAGAAATTTTTTCTTTTCGGAGCAATTATAGTCTTAGCAGTGGAGAGAAAATATTTTTCTCTTTGGCATTAACTAATTGCCATGGAAATAAAACTTTCCTCTCCGGAGCAATTAGTCAGTGGCATTACGCAGCAATTAGGCATACACATTTCGGAGCTTAGCGAGATTCGCAGGTCAAAAACCGAACGCGAGACTAAAAATAGGGGAGACGGCGCTATGCTTGGAGTATGTCTACAGTTTTGCAGGCGCTTTGCACGATCATTTTCTTCACAAAGTTCAATGTTTCGGAAATGTACTTCCGGTAGATGAGGTAGCTTTGTACTGATCCGGTTACAATAATGGAGAACTTTTAGCACTCATGGAAAGGCAATTTTCAAGGAACGACTATGAACACGCTCCTCATTCTAACTTGTCGTCGCTTGGCTGACATAAAGGCGTAACAACTCTCCGCTTGCTACGGTTGCTTGGTTTCTCTCCGCTGCTACGACTCATTGCTCCGGAGAGAAAATTTTTCTTTTCGGAGCAATTATAGTCTAAGCAGTGGAGAGAAAATATTTTTCTCTTTGGCACTAAGTAATTGCCATGGAAAGAAAACTTTCCTCTTCGGAGCAATTAGTCAATGGCATTACGCAGCAATTAGGCATACGCATCTCGGAGCTTAGCGAGATTCGCAGGTCAAAAACCGAACGCGAGACTAAAAATAGGGGAAACGGCGCTATGCTTGGAGTATGTCTACAGTTTTGCAGGCACAATAATGGAGAACTTTCAGCACTCCTGAAAAGACAATTTTCAAGGAACGACTATGAACACGCTCCTCATTCTAACTTGTCGTCGCTTGGCTGACATAAAGGCGTAACAACACTAAGAGATGAGCCCGGGAAAGCATCGAGTTATACGGTAAACAGAGCTTACCTCGAAAAGTAGTTACGTCCATATGTTAGCTGGCCAATTATTGAACTTTAAAGACTAAGCTTTAGACAAAGAAGACAAAAGAATTATTGGTGGAAGCGGGTGATTGCAGTTGACAAAGTAGGTAAGGAAGAGTAACTAACGGCACCCCATATCCTAGAGCAGGTAGGTATTAGAGAAATACCTGTTCCCTGGATGGAAAAAAGGGAACAAAATAGAGAGAATCCTTGGTCAGGCAAAGCGAGGCATGGGGCCGGTGATTAAGAGAAAATCAGTAAAATCGTTCAGGAGCAGCGGGAAAAGCAGCATGCATATACAGGGGTGTAAATGGTTTTTTATGGAGGGGGCGAGGGGAGCGAGGGTCGTCGGAGGGGAATGAAGGAAGGAAAATGCCCCCACAAACTAAAAAAATAAAGAGTACAGCCATAATTATTGGATATTTGCTCCGTAAACAGCAATTTTCAGCTGATTTAGAGCTAAAAACCTTCAAATCGGCCCTATTTTCCGAGAGCTCGACAGAATATTTTCTGGTGTTGGTATCTTTTATCTTGAATCATATCTAGTACAACCTTCGTTTCTCTTTAACAAATGAAGACACATCTAAAAATTTTAATAAGTTTTTTTTAATAAAAATGTTTTTCTTTCTCTTGCATTATTGTGAATGTATTGAGTAAACGACGTCTGAACAAATCTCAACATTCAAAATTAAGTATCTATGAGATTGAATCCCAATATATATTTAATAGAAACAAAGTTTATTTTTTTCTTTACACAGGCTGAATATTGACGTTGAAAATGAGATCATATCCATAAGTGATTCGGAGCAATCTCATGCACGAAATGAATCGCCATCTTCATTCATAAAGAATGCAAAAAAATCATATCAATCCAATTTGAAGTCACGTCTTTTTTATTTCAACAATGGGCAACCTCGCCTTTTTGCCAATGGATTCGCTTGAAACTCGGTGTTTGGGTGTATCTGAATAGGAGGAAAACGATAAGCTGATAAAAAAATACATAAAAGAAAAGAAAATACATTCGGAATGCTGTAACCTTTGAGACAGGTACACACCTACATTAAATTGTGCCATGTCGAGGAATTATATCTCCTGATTTTGAAAAGAGTTGATCCGTTTCCAGCGTTTGCGAACTCAATTTTAAAAAAAGTTTCTCTTTTAGGATGCGATGTTGAGAATTTTCTTGAACCTTCCTTAATTTAAATGTGAACTATACCGTAAACTCATTCTGAGTGCGAAGGAGAGGAATACAATCACTCCTAAGCAATTAATCGGTGCTTAGGAGAAACTTCATTCCTCCTGGGAGGAATAAGTTACTATTTGGGAGAGGAAAGTTTCTCTCCGGGGCAATTAGTTAGTGCTACGGAGAAAAATATTTTCTCTCCGCTGCTACGACTCATTGCTCCGGAGAGCAGCTGCTTGAGTACAATCTGCTTTGGAGCAATCTCATGCACGAAATGAATCGACATCTTCATTCATAAAGAATGCAAAAAAATCATATCAATCCAATTTGAAGCTTAAAAGAAAGAGAAAATCAAATTCAAGTCCAATATCGTAAGTACAAAATTTAAATATTCTTTGTGAACTTATGTACTTGACATTCAACTGCATTCAACCTGTTAATAATAAGAAATCAACTAATATTCTTTCATTTTATTGGTCTGGATTAGCACTGCTTTCAGAGAGCGCCAAAATTCAAACGAGCCAATCAGATTTAAATATTGCAAATCGCTACATCGAATGACATCATGATTCTTCGTTAAAAATGACGCTTTTTGCAAAATCTAGGGATTTTTTAAGTATATTTGAGCAAATCTGGGGATTTAGGGATTTTTAGCGAAATCTAGGCATTTTTTTTCTTCCCCGCTAGGGATTTAATATCGGAAGACTGGCTTCCAGTATCGTAGCGTTGATCGTCGCTGATGTCGAAATGGAACCTAATGCCGGACTTACTGTAACACCTCCATTCCTCAATTCCGGTGAGGAATACGTCTCTACCCTTAACTCAATATAAATATACAAATTGATAAGTGAGTGCTTTAGTCTCCTGAAAACAGAATTGCGAAACTTAAAATTGGAGAAAAATGATGAGTAAATGAAAAAATGGAACCAATTGATGGGATATGTCGCATGCCATTCTGACACAAAATATGGCGTCTATCGAATCACCTTAACTAAATAAAACAACCAAATTTTCAACTCTCAAACTATCAACTATCAACTATCAAATTTCAAACTATCAAAATTTCCAACAATGACAAAAATGATTGTAATATACCTATAATGTAATGAAATATACACGCTCTAATCATTTAATTTGTATTACCTTTATGTTATGTACCTACATGTTATACTATTTTTATAATGAATTTTGCCAACATGCTTTTCAATTCAGTCTACAACATTTCATTCCGACGTGGCAATAATGATTTATAATGCCCCTAATCCATTAAAATGAATTACAATAGTAATGCCGCATTATAATGTCGTATTATACATCGCAACGATTCATGTCCTACTGATTATTGATTATTGTAAGATGAATTCTGTTTTCTCTGATTGTATGTTTCATACGTGCGAAGCAAGTACGGGTCACTAGAAACGTGGTTCGTGCGGGTGGCTGATGAAATTGATCTTCGAATACCTTTTGATGAGCTAGGGAAATGGAACCATCTGCATCTCATGAACAATAAATAGTTGCCGTAATTAAGGTCATCCCGTGATTAAGGTGCCGTGATTTAAGTCATAAATTCTTCATCTAATTCTTGATTCATCTCCAAAATGTCTGCTAAAGCTTTCATGCGCTTCTCCTTGTATGCATGAATGAGCAAATTGGATATCGAACAAGGGGACACTTTTTGAAAATTTAGATGATTCTGGACAATATCGTACAGAAGTCCACGAGCTGCAGATAGAACCATTACCTCTAGCTCATCAAAAGTTATTCGAAGATCATTCAACAACCTCTTTGACAAGTTGCAAAAACTTTTCGTTAACAATAGTGTCACACGGTACTAGGAATATTTACTATTTAACGAACCTTATATTTCCCTGACTCAGTCCTAAATTATAGAAGTATGCGTTACTTTTCCAGCAATCCAAAAAAACAATTATACAAAAAACCAATACCTACACTTTCAGATATAAAAATGCAAATTTTTTGCAGCCTCGCTAAACGACTTATCAACCAGAGATTTTTTAGGAAGCGGACCTCCAAAGAGCTTTCAAAATTAAAAGTATACAACAAGTGATAATGCCATGTATTCGCCATATCAAAGCCCAATACACATTTATACACCGGCTACGTAAATCTGCTAAGTTACAAAACATGAATCGACAGTTGTCGGATTGTACATCAATGACAAAATGTGTCTAGGCCCTCATTCTTGACTACAACTACTGCCCCCAGAGCCGCTCTCCGACGCCAATGCGTTGGAGCTTCCTGCTTGTTTTTATATATATAAAAGGAAAGCTCCTGGAGGGCTTTGAGCGGATGGGAGTCTTTGGCGGCTAGGTGTCGCAGAACGCCAGAGAGCGCTATTACAGCGGCTTTGTACGTATGTAAAATTTTATGTACATTCTCAAGAGAACAAAGAAAGTTGTAATACATTGAGCATCGAGCCAAATTAAGTTTTCGAAGCGTGCCCGTCAGTGAGTTCGGAACTTTCCGCGCCGCACGGTGGAACGAGTCTTTGGAAGAAATCGGACATGAAATTTTTGAAAAAAATTGTAAATTTGTACGTTTATTTCGTCACAATTTTAATTTAAAGGGGTGCTTTTTACAGAAAATGTCACGAGGAAACCAAAGAAATTACCTTTCAAACATTAAAATGTCACATTCTTGAAGATAGACGCTTTTAAAGTATATAAAACATGATTGTCCGACCTCTCCCATTGACTCGATCCACTGTGTGCTGCGTTGATGGGCCCGCTTCGGAAACTTAATTTGTTGCGATGTTCACGATGCCTTTGTTTTTAGAGTAAACCTAGCAATTTCACACCATTTACCAAATACTACAGCTATTCAAAGCATCAACGCGACCGGCGGTTAATCATCACACGTGGACGCTATTTTACAAAAAAAAAAAAAAAAAAAAAAAAAAAAAAAAAAAAAAAAAACAAGTGTCAGGAAACTTCAAATGCGGATTCAGCGATCAAAATCATCGAAATAGCCAAAAGAAAAAAAAATTGTGCCCAAAATTCCGGCCAAATCAAGTATGCGTCTGGACTAAACTGTTTGTCCGCCGATTTGCGATTTCTTTTCTATACTTCAATTAATCCCACAGGACGAGTCTGGTGCTTAGGTCCCATCCCCACCCTGCTTCGTCCCTGCTTAACAACTAGCCTTGGTGACTTATTTAAGGCCATCAAACTCAGGTCGCATAAACGGGAATCGAACACGAGAATTCCTGACTCATACTATGAGTGCTACGACTATAAGACTACAGAAGGCCGACAAAAGCTGACGATTTATCGAGAGATTTTCAATTATACATAATACTTTTGCACGTGTTTATTTCTTGCAAAATATGTTGTTGATACTCAAATGTATCATCTCATTACTCTTATTCGTAAACATAATTTTATTTTACTTTTACGAGAGATCTGACAACTACGTGTGCTTTATTCTCACCTGAGTCCTGGACCACGGGCTCTTCTCCGATCAAGTCAGTAGGAAGCCACGCATCGCCCACGCAAGTGCAGTTATTCTTGCCTCGGCGTCAAGTCGTCAAAGTATCAATTTAATGATGAATTATTCATGTCAATCCGCGAAAAAGTGACTTTTGTCTGGACTTCATTCATCAGAAGCGATGACAAGAAAAAACCAGTTTTCGGCAATCACGGAGACCTGTTAAGAGCTAGTGGCGATAGTCTCGTTGTTTCCCAGACAAAAAAACGTAACTCCACTTCGAAGCTGTAAAGTTTCCATCGCGAATTGTACTTACTAGACTATTGCGCGTTTTTAACTGAAAATTCAACACGTTTTTCCTCCAATTACACGTGCATACATATCGGCCAAATTATGTATTGGAATTGTATTCATATTCTTGTAAAATTTCGTTATTTGAGTCAATTTTGCAACATTGGAATGTAGATACGATCATCTGCACGGGATACGGCGCGATGATGTGTCCAATATTGAGGTAGTTACGCTGGTCAATAAGGAATTGTGTTTTTATCCGAACTGGTTTTTTACTGAAGAAACTCCACTAAGAGGTTGAAGTCCGGTCGGGATAACTTTGAATAGTGATCAAATATAAAATTTAGACAGAAAGTTGGATACGTAGCCAACGTGCGTTACAAATCAGCATAAAACTGAAAATCTCAATACAGAGAGGAAAAGCTCAAAAGAGCACAATTTTCCCTCAAAGAGATGTGTTGTTACGAACATTCGAACCATTATTACCGCTAGGTACATCACGAACTTTTTGTCTAAATGACTCGTGCATCTACTGCAATCAGTTTGTAAATTTAAAATTGCTCTAAAATTTTGTTTTTACATAACTTAGAAAGTTTGGGCGGGGTGCGGGGTGTCTTATATAAATTTGGAAATTTACCATTTTGAAATAACGAGATCAGCCGCACCCTAGTGAAGAATCATAAGTTGTTATGACATACTTCTTAATCCGGTCTGACAATGAGTCATTTCTCTGAATGTGTGATGGGAGCTTTTGGGAATGTTTGATTTTGCGTTATGATATTTCCTCGAGCTCTATTCTTGGTGCTGCTCTTCCACCTTGAACTTCAGTTTCAAATCTTGAGGATTTAGGCTCCTTTCCGGGTCAAAGCCCCTCGATCACCCAATGTGAATCCAGAGATGGAAAATTTGAAAGTACGTTTGGGGTTCTAAAATTTTCGGTAGCAAGCAGCCCGCTTGAATGAATTCTAATCGTTCTGACCTTCTCCTTTGTTTCTGTCTCTTCCTTCAATTTGCACGAATG